CAAACTCTCTGCCTCTGGGCAGAGAGGATCCTCAAACGAGGATGTGTTGAAGGACAGTCTTGTCTCATGAAACAGCTACCTGACTCCATTTTATACAGGGTCTATGGGGAATTTTTGGCTTATGGGCTTGGATACCTCACATTAAATTTGGCCTTGTGCCACATCCGACCATGTGGGGCGTTTGGTAGATATCCTGCTGTTGGAGATTCATTATGGAATTCACTTGACTCACTTCTAGCAGTTGACTTCTTCTATGCGCCACTGGTGAATCTTATATGTGTTGTTCTTATCCTAAGTATTATCATTCATTACCAACTTTCATGTGATTATTCTATTCGGTAACCTTCCCTAGGTTACAACAAATTTGAATGAAATTGAAATGAACATGTGTGGTAAGGGCTAATTTCCACTACTGTCTGGCAACAACCCCTGATTAACAAGAAAAGAGTATGTGCTGTTTAAATGAATTTTTATGAGTCCTTCTGTATTTAAACTGATTATGTATATATACTGGACTCTCCTATCATTTTCCTAGGAACCAAAAGCCAGGCACCTACACATATGATTTGATTATAGCGATGAAGGCTTTGTGCAGAACCAGCTGCACTTTTTGGAAGTGTTGAATACAGAGAACTGGTGCACAACATACCACAAGTTCCCCAAACAACTCTCCACAAGTTTTGAATTCAGAGTTGTCATTCTCCTAGACCAGTTGCCACTCAAGGCTATAGAACCCAGTCTATCCTGCTAGTTACCTACAACTGGGGGTAGAAGAGGATTAGCATGGAATTTGAACTCGGCTCTCTGATTCCTCAATCCGACCTGCTATCCATTACTCTACCATGCTGACACACACACACACACACACACAGAGAGGCTGCGATGGATAAATTGTCATCTAAATTACACAAAAATGAAAATAAAAGACATCTCATTTTATCAGATGTATTTACCAAAATTACACAAAAATATCTTGAAATACTAAAGAGAAAATTTATTCAATAAAATCACCATTGGCTTCAACCATGGCCTCCAAATGACTTTGGAATCTTCTGCAACTCTTCTGAATGGTCTCCTTGTTTAAGTTGATGAGGCTACCATAATCCTTGCCTTCAGTTCATCTTTGGTGTTACAAGGAGTTTTGTTGGTCTCCTGCTCAACTACACCCCATACATAATAATCAATTGTGTTGCAGTCTCGGGAGTTAGGTGGCCAGATGTAAGGAGTGATATGGATGCAGAAATTGTCTGAAAGCCATGACTGGGTTCTTCTGCTTGTGGAACATGATGCAGAGACCTGTTGTCAGGTTTTTCTGGTGAAGTGAATTGTGTCATGGGGCTCTTTTTCTCACAGTCCAATGTGTGTGTGTTTATTCTAAGACATGTAGTATTTTAACAAAAGAGCAAATAATTTTGATTTGAAATTTGATTCCCTTTCTGTCAGCAAAGTAACAGGTGCTTGTTAATTATGCATTTTGACTGGAGACTTTTTCCCATATAGAGGATGTAAGCTTTTCTATAGCAGTGAAACATACATTGCGATAGAAATGCACAAACTGTGTTATAGTTTGTCTATTGCCTGTCAAATGCATTGAGTGCCCTATGACTCTTTCTGAGGTAACCTCCAGAGAGATAAGTTGATGCAGTCAACTATGAAAATTGTTAAAAAGAAATATAATCAACTCTCCCGTCGAGATTCGACATATGAGGAGGTACGGTGGAGTAATGGATAGCGGCTTGGATTGAGGAATCACAGAGCCGAGTTCGAATTCCAGTCGAATCCATTACATTCACTTACGTGCTAATACCCTTGGGAAAGGTATGAATCCTCTTCCTCTCCCTCCAGCTATGGGTAAAATAGCAGGACAGACTGGGTTCTATAGCCTTGGATGGCAACTGGTCTAGGAGAAGGACAACCCTGAATTCAAAACCTGCAGAGGGTTGTTTGGGAACCTTGTGGCATTCGGTGCACCAGGTCCCTGTATTCGTCCCTTCAAAAAGTGTGGATGGTCCTGCACAGGGCCTTCACCACAATAATCAAATCTCATGTGCAGGTGTCAGGCTGTTGGTTTCCTGAAACTGATCTGGAAAAGAATATATATATATATATATATATATATATATATATATATATATATATATGATGCCGTAAACCATGAGTAACACATGATAAAAGATTGAACCTAGCCTAATGATCCTTCATATTTTAGAGTGTAATTTGAGTTGCCTCAGTTTTAATTTTCATCTGCCTTACATATATATATATATATATATATATATATATATATATATAAATTGTGTGTATTTAGGCAGCATTTTTCATTCATACATGTTTCATTAAATAATATAGACAAGTTATGAAAAAAATTTACATAAAATAAATAGACAACACATGTCTATATTATTTAATGAAACATATATATATATATATATATATATATATATATATATATATATAGGATATTAAAACAAAAACCTGTTAAAATTGCTAACCAATTTCAAAATTACAAATGTGTCTCCTTGGGTGATCATAAACTTCTGGTGAGTGTACAATTATTTTAATTTCAAAAAGCAAAATACTTCCTCATTTTTGTCAAAAAAAAAAACAGAATTAAAAATAGGCTTGTGGGGCTTTACCATTATTAATCAATTGAATGTGACCTACACTAAATTTCAACTCAGCAAAAAAAAAAAAAAAAATTTTTATTATATAGGTCATGACACAAAGTTGTCTGCATATAAATCGTAGATAATTTCATTATCGATAGATACAAATGGTTGTATTATTTTGTAAGATGTACAGAAGTCCGGCATTCAACTTTCCTAAGTAAAAGCAAAAGAAATAGGGATATATATAATATATATCCACATACACACACACACACACACACACATATATATATATATATATATATATATATATACACACACACCCGTATGTGTACAATAGGTGGACTTGTATGCCTGTCACATACAACACAAACATAGAAACTGAATGAGGTTTTTGAAAAACTGCCAGGACTCCATCATATATATATATATATATATAATCTGTAAGTGGAAAGAATAATCCAAGTAGGTCTTTTTAATATATAATATTAAAGACATATCCATAAAGAGAGCTCAATGTATAGTACACAGAGCAATATGATCTGCATCAATGAAAAACTTAACATATTGAAAACAATTATAATTTATTTCAGCAAATAAGTTTTTAATACGCGTCTCATCAGACCAAAATTACTAATGTTTTTTGATATGTTAAATTTTTCCATATATATATATATAATATAAAATTTCTGAGAGGAGGTATTGTAAATATTTACCTTGTTCAGACAGTTATCCACATTTTTATTGTCATATTCATGACATTTCAACCATTATACACTTTGGCTTTCTTCAGCTGAGGTCCATGGACTTTTTAACTAAAACCCTTTATTCAGTTCATGGTAGTAGATTATTCTCATTCCACGTGCTATATCTTTCGGGATATCTCGCTTTTCAGTTAATTCCCTTTAGTGACTCAACTCTCACATTTGTTTGTTCACTTCTGCTGTAGCCAGATATTGAACTCACTCACATGTCACTTTTGGATTATTTCAACCAACACATTTTTTCCACTAAATGAATATTGGGAACTTAGAAACCTAACATCTCAGTAAGCAATTTATACCAGAACTCATATTATAATTTTTGCAATGCTGAAGAAGGCTGGTGCATGCAATAGCTGAAATGTCATGAATATAACAATGAAGATGTTGACAGCAGCCCAAACAATGTACGTAGTTAGTTTATATATATATATATATATATATATATATATATATATATATATATAATTTGTGTATTTAGGCAGCAATCCTTTTCATGCACATTTCATTGAAAACGACAGACAAGGTGCTTTTATTTAGTTTTTTATACAATTTCATTTTTTTTTTTTCAAAACACGGTCAAGATATTATGCCCATGTTCAAAGTTAATATTATTAAGTGTTGATTTGTTTATTTTTATTAATAAGGCTTACATTATTTTTAGCCTTTTTTTTGCATGTAGACACACATATATATATATATATATATATATATATATATATATATAGTGCAAGAGGGAAGATATTCTTTTATTTATCATGGTTCTTCATAATTTCATATCCTTGTTAGTTCTTACAAAGGTTTTGTCTTTTCTCCATCCCTCCCAGTCCCTGATCTGACATTCGCTTACAAAGGTTGTTATATAGGTTACTCATTGTTTTCCTCTCTTCATCTTGCCTGTGACTGTCAAATTCTCCAAACCCTCTTTCCTCATTGTGTCCTAAAAATTTCAGTTGTCTCTTTCTGATTCTAATTGAAAGGGTTTTTCTTGTTTTCCATTTTCCTTAAAACTTCCTCATTGCTCATATGTTCAGTCCATGTTATTCCCAACATCCTTCTGAAGAAATGCATCAAGCCTCTTTCTTCATCTGTAATGAGATTGTCCAGCATTCACTGCCATATAGGAGGACTGATATTATATAACAGTTCAACACTGTTAATAGATTTAGATAATTTGTGAATTGTTTCCCTGTGTAAGAAGCTAAGAAGCACTCAATTACTCTGATTTACAATGTCAATACTTAAGCAGTAAGTGAAGCAAAGGTTAACTGATATTGTCAGGAGACACTGTTTAAATAAATCATTATACGCAACATTGTCATCTATGTCTGCTCTGAAGTGGCATAAAATATAGAGAGACAAGGATTACAAGATGAAGAAATAAAAACATCATCTTGTAATATTTTTTGTCGGATACTCAAGAAATTAAAACTTCTTGCCTTCAACATAATTTTTGATAAATGAAAACTTTTTTTTTTCTTCCTTTTAAAGCAAGAGAAATTGAAAAGACAATTCATAGTGAAGAAAAATAAAAATAAAGGTCATTTTACAGAAAGGGAAACAAATAAATTTTATATTTGAGGACATTTTTTTTCAATCATTTCACCCCAAGCAAGGCAATAATGCCATTATGTCTTTCTTTCACTCTCCGTCTCACCCTCTCACTCTCAACATCTTTCTCTCACTCACAATAAGTTTCTTTCTATCTCTCTTTCACTCTCACCCTGTTTCACTCTCTCTCACTCTCACCCCATTTCTCTCACTCTCACCCCATTTCTCTCCCTCTCACCCCATTTCTCTCCCTCTCACTCTCACCCCGTTCCTCTCTCACTCTCACCCCGTTTCTCTCTCTCACTCTCACCCCGTTTCTCTCTCTCTCACACTCTCACCCCGTTTCTCTCTCTCTTTCACACTCTCATCCCGCTTCTTTCTCTCTTTCATCCCACTTCTTTCTCTCTTTCACACTCTCATCCCACTTCTTTCTCTCTTTCACACTCTCATCCCACTTCTTTCTCTCTCTCCCTCTCTCCCATCTCTTTCCCTCTCATCCCACTCTCTCATCCCTCTCATCCACTTCTCTCTCTCTCTCCTCCCTCTCATCCCACTTCTTTCTCTCTCCCCTCCCTCTCATCCCACTTCTTTCTCTCTCTCCTCCTATCATCCCACTTCTCTCTCTCCCCTCCCTATCCTCCCACTTCTTTCTCTCTCTCCCTCCCTATCATCCCTTCTTTCTCTCTCCCCTCCCTATCATCCCACTTCTTTCTCTCTCCCCTCATCCCTTCTTTCTCTCTCTCCCTCCCTATCATCCCTCTCTCTCTCCTCCCCTATCATCCACTTCTTTCTCTCTCTCCCTCCCTATCATCCCACTTCTTTCTCTCTCTCCCTCCCTATCATCCCCTTCTTTCTCTCTCCCCTCCCTATCATCCCACTTCTTTCTCTCTCCCTCCCTATCATCCCCTTTCTCTCTCTCCCTCCCTATCCCCTTCTTTCTCTCTCTCCCTCCCTATCATCCCACTTCTTTCTCTCTCTCCTCCCCTATCATCCCACTTCTTTCTCTCTCTCCCCCCTATCATCCCACTTCTTTCTCTCTCCCTCCCTATCATCCCACTTCTTTCTCTCTCTCTCCTCCCTATCATCCCTTCTTTCTCTCTCTCCTCCCTATCATCCCACTTCTTTCTCTCTCCCTCCCTATCATCCCACTTCTTTCTCTCTCATCCCTCCCTATCATCCCTTCTTCTTTCTCTCTCCCTCCCTATCATCCCTTCTTTCTCTCTCCCCTCCCTATCATCCCACTTCTTTCTCTCTCCCTCCCTATCATCCCATCCCTCTCTCCCTCCTATCATCCCTTCTTTCTCTCTCCCTCCCTATCATCCCACTTCTTTCTCTCTCCCCTCCCTATCATCCCACTTCTTTCTCTCTCCCCTCCCTATCATCCCACTTCTTTCTCTCTCTCCTCCCTATCATCCCACTTCTTTCTCTCCCACTTCTTTCCTCTCCCCCTATCATCCCACTTCTTTCTCTCTCTCCCTCCCTATCATCCCACTTCTTTCTCTCTCTCCCTCCCTATCCCTCCCCTTTCTTTCTCTCTCTCCTCCCTATCATCCCACTTTCTTTCTCTCCCTCCCTATCATCCCACTTCTTTTCTCTCCTCCCTATTATCCCCACTTCCTCTCTCCTCCCTATCATCCCACTTCTTTTGTCTCTCCTCCCTATCATCCCAATTCTTTCTCTCTCTCCTCCCTATCATCCCACTTCTTTCTCTCTCTGGCCCTATCATCCCTTCTTTCTCTCTCTCCCTCCCTATCATCCCACTTCTTTCTCTCTCCCTCCCTATCATCCCACTTTCTTTCCTCCCTCCCTATCATCCCAATATTCTTTCTCTCTCTCCCTCCCTATCATCCCACTTCTTTCTCTCTCTCCCTCCCTATCATCCCACTTCTTTCTCTCTCTCCCTCCCTATCATCCCACTTCTTTCTCTCTCTCCCTCCCTATCATCCCACTTCTTTCTCTCTCTCCCTCCCTATCATCCCACTTCTTTCTCTCTCTCGCTCACATGCAGTTTCTCTCACTCTTTCTGTTTTTCCTTTCTTTCTCACCCCACTTCTCTCATATATATATATATATATATATCTCACTCTCACTCCATTTCACTCTCTCTCTCACACTAATATATATATAACCCCATTTCTCTATCATTAAACTACATCTCTAATATCTTTCTCTTTTCCATCAAAACTGTATAATCCATTATTAATGAGGTGCTAGCGTATGGGCTTAACTCTTATTAAGGAACAGGCAGAATTATAATAAATATATTGCAAAGAAGAAAGGCAATAATAAATTTTAAAAGAAAATTAATTTAACTTTTTTTTAATTTTGTGTCTCAATTTCAGTTTTTACTTTCCGCAGAAGTGAACCTACAAACCAAGCCTTTTTTTTTCTTTAAAAAAAAAATTGCTTTAGTAGTTGCATCTAAAAATATGACTTTGTTGAAATGTTTTTTCTTCATTATATACTATATCCCCTCAAGTCATAGGCGATCATGGCGCTTCACAATTTCCTGTCTTTTGTAGCTCTTTATAAATTTTGTCTTTGTTATTTCTCTGAATCCTTGTTCCACCATCCATTTACTCATGCTCACTAAATATGTTATGCGTTGTTTTCTTCTCTCTTTTCTTCATTCTGTCTTGTGAGTATCATATTCTCCAAGCCCTCCTTCCATATTATGTGCCCTAGAAACCTCAATTGTCTCTTCCTTATGTTATGTATAAGTTTTCCTGTTTGTTTCCATTTTTTCTAAAACTTTGTCAGTGCTCACATGTTTGGTCCATGGTATCCTCTGTAGAACCACATTTCTGTTTCTTCAACTCTCTTCTTCATTTTTCAGGGGATTATCCAGCACTCACTAACATAAAGAAGGACAGATATCACATAACATTTTAGTACTCTTTTCCTTGTTTCTAGCGAGGTTTTACTATTTCTTAATACTCTGCTTAGCTTTTGTAAGGCATCTTTGGCTATCCCAATATGCCTTTGGATTTCAGTGTCACACTCTCCCTCCTCTGTTAAAAAAAACTTCCCAGATATTTAAGGCTTGTTTTGTTGATTCACTTTTGCTGAAGGTGTTGCATATCCCCCCATGGAGATCGGTCTTTGGCAATGGCATCTTCTGTCATTTTCAGGCAGGTTTGGATCTAGAGATGAAAGACATCAACAAAGAGAATTTTAACCTTAACTATTTCAATTAACCTGTACATTTCTAACTATCCAGTGGGGTTGCTCTCCCTGCTCCACTGGGGAGCAGTTTCCAGAGACAAAAGGAACATGTCTACATTGTTTGATGTGTAAGAACTAACTCCCCAAAAACTTTTGTCTATCTATCATTCCCACGCTAATTCAGCCAATCAAAATCGACTTCCTTTATTTTGTCTTGTATCTGACCCCTAAAGTCAAACTGAGGAAGTCAGAGTGGAAATAGATTTCTCTAAAAATAATAGTGTGCTAAACTATTATTTAACAAAGGTAAAAACTAAAATCGAAAGAATTAATATGAAATATTTCTGGAAAGGAGAGTACAAAACCGTTTTCTGGTTTTGTTTGAACTTTTCAGCTGGAAATGTAAACATTTTGGGCATGGGGGGAGAGGGTCCCCAGCTGTTTTGTGCATTTGTGTGGTATCTGGCTGGAAACTAATAAAGGAAATTCTGGTCAGTTAGGATTTTTTTTTTGGGAACTTAAATTTGTTCTAAACACAACAGAGAATCTCTCTGAATTTGGTGGGTGAGGAGTTATCATCTTCACATGCAAACTATTGTCGTCATCTTTGTTTTTGTTATTACGTTTTGGCCATTGTACCCTCTGACCTTCATCAAGTACTTTATGATTCAGGTAACCTACAGGGAATTTCAAACCGAAGCTTTTATTTAATATGCAGGGATAGATTATTTGTTTATTCCAATGCTCATGTCGAAGGGTATATTGTCTAGTTATTATTTTATACTGCCCACTGGAATCAGGGTGAGCAATATTTGAGCAATAGATGGTGTATTCTTAGATATGGGTAGTGAAATAAGAACAATTAAAATACCTTGTAGGTTACCCAGTTCAAGAAGCACCCTGAAACTTTGTGATAACAACAACAAAGATGAGGATAATAGTCAGTGTGAAAATAATGTAAATAAAAAAGCAAAAGATAATTTTCACTCCAAAAAGTCTAACATTTTTAAAAATGCGATTTCATTGTAACCATCAAAATTGTAGTTGAAGTGTTAGAAATGCACAGTTTTCCATGTGGCAACATAATTGGTTTATATCAGGGGTGGGGAACAAAGCAGAGGTCTAAGGGTGTAAGCTGTGAAAAAAGAAAGTAAGCTAACAAAACAAAAATGGGTGAAAAGAGAAAGGATTTAGTCTAAAGACAAACAGGATTGCCATCTTCAGGTTTTTGTTTACTCCTTTACTCCCTTTGATCATTTAAAGTGAGTGAAGTTTTTTTTTTCTGAATCATGTCACACATCTCATCTGTAATTGTACGTATGTTATATACTACATTATTAGATTGTTAAAAAATCTTCAAATACAAAAGCAGTTCCTTGTATCATAAAGAGTGTGTAAAACTTGATTTTTTTGTTTTGTCTGCAAAAGTTTTCCTTTATATGAATATTAGTTTACAAGAATAAAAATCAACAATTAAGCCATTGTTGCTAATCTTGTACTGCACTTAAATTCATAACGTCTAGTTACCATAGCGAAGATCTCATCCAAACAACTACCATGAAATTAGGGTAATTCTCCATGTATAATACGCATTTTTTTCCAAAAATAATACGCAAAAGCAGGGTTGCATTAATACACAGCTACAAAAAAGTTGCCTTAAAATAAGAATTATCATAAAACTAAATTAGAATAATATTATTCTATGTTTAAAACCATTTTTTAAATTAAGAGTAGGAAACGCTGGCCATAATGAAACTGGAGAAGTACAATTTATAGGGTTTGATTACCAAACAAGGGGGTGTGTATTATGCATGAGAAGAAGCATTTTCCCATACTTTAAGCACAATTTTAGGGGTGAGTATTATGGATGAAGGCATATTATACATGGGGAATTATGGTATTTATAGAAAAGGCACAGGGAAGCAACTTTACAGTAGTGGGAAAGTGACTGAAACCAAGATGCCAGGTCAGGACCATTAATATTGCTGATTCATCAGATTTTATCAAGAATCTCTAAATGTATAGCAGGAACACTGGACCATATGTAGTAGCAATACTCCATGCATGGACAAATGATAGATTTATAAATATACTAGAGAGATTCTGGCGAGAAAAATTATCTAACATGACACAGTGAACCAACTTCTTAGCAACAAATCTAGCAATGAATTCAATATAGCCTTTCCACTTCATGTCAGCCAAGAATGTTAGCCTGAGAAGATGCAACAAGTCACTCTCTTGGAAGTTAACATTAGATATGCTGATGGAAGGCAGAAATAGGTCTCTCAGATGATTAATGGAGAGAAGTTTTGTTTTGGAGGCATTAAATATAACAAGCCATCCTTTGCCCCAGTTAACAACAGAATGTAGCCAATTTTTAAAAAAAATTGGCCAATTTGACCCTATCAATCTGATCAGATTTACTATTGGGACAGGACCAAATCTTTTCCTCTTCCCTTTTTCCTCTTCCCTTTTTCCTCTTCCCTTTTTCCTCTTCCCTTTTTCCTCTTCCCTTTTTCCTCTTCCCTTTTTCCTCTTTCCTTTTCTCTTTTCCTTTTTCTTTTCCTTTTTTCTCTTTTTCCTTTTTTTTTCTCTTTTCCTTTTTCTCTTTTCTCCTTTTTCCTTTTCTTTTTTTCTTTTTCCTTTTTTTCTTTTTCCTTTTTTTCTTTTTCTTTTTTTTTTTTCCTTTTTTCTTTTTCCTTTTTTTCTTTTTCCTTTTTTTCTTTTTCCTTTTTTTCTTTTTCCTTTTTTTCTTTTTCCTTTTTTTCTTTCTTTTTTTTTTTTCTTTTTCCTTTTTCCTCTTTTTCCTTTTTTCCTTTTTTCCTTTTTTTCTTTTTCCTTTTTCCTCTTTTTCCTTTTTCCTCTTGTCTTTTCTCTTTTTCCTTTTTCCTCTTGTCTTTTTCCTCTTGTCTTTCCTTCTTTCAATGTTTATTAAACTTATTTTTTAATTTAAGTGAACTTAGACTGCTTCTGTGACAAATAGATGTTGAAAGATTAGCACAATTCTATCTTCTTGGGAGGGAAGACGGACTTGAAAAAAAAATCATAAAAAACATCTTTCATCACATCACAACCAGTATAGGTATAATATGAACCATATATATATCATTTTGAACATTATTTTAGCGGATATGGGCCTGGTAAATACGGTAATTTAATTGATGTGCACATAACCACATGACAATTATAGGCCTGGTAAATACATTAATTGATGTGCACACAAGCATATGACTTGATGACTCAAATGTGGTTTGGTTTAAGGATATTTAAATTATTTCTTTTATTTTTGAAATAATATTGTTAAAGGCTTGACGCTCCTCTTTCTTTATATTTTATACATTAAAATTTTTATATACATACATATAAATATATATATTTGGTTGGATAGATGCGAGTTTGTGACCCTGGGTTTCACGCTTTAGCGATCGTCAGACAAACTGATTAATTTTTTTTAAATTTTGGGTTTATGTAGATTGTGTGTATTGGTGTTATTGTGAAAGTGGTGGGGGAAACTTTGTCGCTTTTGTCATCGTACTAACGCAAACATCGATGCATGCAGACACATATACATACTTGGTCGTCCGTCGGGACTCATACATATATAAACATATGTGGGCAGTTTCAGATATGACATATGTATGTATACGGGTGGTGTTGTGTCTATACATACGCATTTGTATGTTGAAATTTAAAGATTGGAAGTGTAGTGGAAATTTTCTCGTGAATGTATACATGTCATATTTTTATTTTTCTCTGATATTGAGCACTTTCTAATGAGTACCGCGCATATAATATTTAAATAATTATACATATATATATTTATTTATATTTATATACACACACTTTTCACACACACATATATACACACATACACACACACACACACACATATGTATATATATATTTATATATATTGCAGAGTTTTGCATGCAAACGTTCTAAAACTAATCAGGCCAAGTGAAAAGTTGATCCTCTGATAGTGAGGTTCAACTGAAGTCCAGTGGATACATTACAATCATATCATTTTAGAATTCTTCTTGTTCATTAGTTGACATGTACATTACATCCTACCAATACCTTATAAGTAATGGACTATTCCATTTTGATTGCAATGAAGGAGAGAAAACAGATAGTGTTTGGATTCAGTGAGACTAAGAAAGAAGAGGTGATTCAAAAATTTGTCAATTTCAGATTTTTTT